ATTCTTTCTGATCCTGCCACTCTCACCTCAGAGCATTTTGCCCCCATTAGGTATTTGAGAGCTTTACAATCTATTCATTAATCAAGACATTAAACTGGATCAGTGGAATTTAACTCATAAGATACTTTCCAAAAAAATTCATTAATATTGGCATAATTCTTATTATATGTTTGTTGTCAGATATCCTTGGTGTCAAACATCCTTGGGTTGGGTTTAGAGCAAATCCCATTATTTCTGAAGTGGTATTAACCATTGTATCTTCAAAGATATTCTTTTGAATAAGGTATTCCGTAACATCACCAATCATTTGTCCTTACAGCATCCTCTTCTCCTAACTGCCTACATGCCGTGGCTTAGACTGCTTCTTTTCTTGGAAAGTCTTTCTCTCTCACTAAACCTGTAGTCATTCTTCAAGGACCAGTGGAGAAATCACTTCCGCTAACCATGCTCTCCTAGTACTAAGAAATAACTCCTCCATTAGGCTCTCATAGAGTTTTGAAGATACCATTATTAAAGAAGTTATACCTTTGTTATAGAACTGGAGTAAGCTTTTTTTTTTTTTTAATTGTGTTAATCTCCTTTGGTAGAAATAAAGACAGTGAGTTACTTAAGGGCAGTATTTTTGTGTCTCCAGGACTTAGTAATCTAAAGACATTTACTAAATATTTGTTGAATGAATGGCCCTAAGCAGGTATGGAAATCTACTAGGTCAAAAGGTTATGGGATGGAGGTCATGATGGGATTTGCTGTTACATAATGAAAAATTGCTATAAGGGGATGAAGCAGTATATGATGCCATGAGAAAAATCTGTGAGAACTTCTCTGATGACACTAGTTGGGAAGTGTTGACTACAATAGACGATGAGCTAAACTGTGCATTTAGGTGACTAGGGTGATACGGGCCTCTCAGGAGTTCTCCCATGCCCAGATAAGCTTTAGTACCTACCACAGTGCCTGGAATCTAGTAAGCCTACAATAAAAACTTGTTGAATAAATTAATGAGGTAATGAGTGTGGAATGAGCTAGCATATACTGGGCTCTGGGCCATCCTAAACCAGGCTTTGGTTCCAATCTGGATTAGTCAGGAGAGATTTGATTTCTGTGTCGAGTTGAACTGCCACATGACTATGTTCTGAGTTGGGCTGATCTCTTAGCTGAGGATAACATGGTTGTTTTTCTATGTCGGTATAAATCTTGGGCCCACATTGTATTGAGATGGTACTGGCTGGAATTCTGACTGAACTGTAAACTGATCTGAACTGATACACTTGAACTGGTCAGCAGGTTTGATCTTAGATATGGGTTCCAGTTTGGGCTGTAGATTGGTTTGTGATTTTCCTTGGCTATGCAATTTGCCCAGAACTCAAATCATGATTAGGTCAAACCAGAGTGTGGTCAAAATTCCAAAGACAAAGAAATTAGTAACTCGAGTAACTTTTGAACACAGTATTTGGCATGTATACACTTAGGCTAAAGACCAAAAGAACTATAAGCAATTATTTTTTTTTTACTTTTTTGTGCTACTTTATTGAGCTATGATTGACATATAAAAAGCTATATATATTTAACATATACAACTCGATGAGTTTGGAGATAAGTATACACCTGTGAAACCATTACCACCATCAAGGCCACACTTACCCATCACTTCCCAAAGTTTCCTCCCCATTTCTTTACTGTTGTTGTCATTAGTGTGTGTATGCCTGTGTGTGTATGTGTGTGTGTGTGTGTGTTGTAACAGCACTTAATGTAAAATCTACTCTGTTAGCAAATTTTTTAAAAAGATTTTATTTATTTATTTGAGAGAGAGAGAGAAAGAGAGTGAGAGAGCCCTAGGTGAGAGAGCAGCAGAAGGAGAGGGAGAAGCAGACTTTCCGCTGAGTAGGGGGCCTGAGCAGGGGGCCTGGATTGATCCCAGGACCCCCAGGACCATGACCTAAGCCGAAGGCAGACACTTAACTGACTTAACAGGCACCCCTGTTAGCAAATTTTAAATGTGTAATATAGGATTGTTAGCTATAGGCACGATGCTGTATAGTAGATCTCCAGTACTTATTTATCTGGAATTTGACCCTTTAACTATCATCTCCCCAATTTCCCCTCTCCCCATCACTCTACTCTCTGCTTCTATGAGTTGGACTATCTTAAATTCCACATATAAGTAAGATCATTCAGTATTTGTCTTTTTATGTCTGGTTTATTTCACTTAGTGTAATGTCCTCTGGGTCCATTCCATGTTATTGCAAATGGCAGGATTTTTTTTTTCCTATTTAAAGCTGAATAATAACCCATTGTTTGTATGTACCACATTTTCTTTATCCACTCATCTATTGATAAAAATTTTTATTGTTTCTATGTCTTGGCAGTTGTAAATAATGCACCAGTGAGTATGAGAGTTTAGTTATCTCTCCAAGATCCTGATTTCAATTCCTTTGGATAAATATCCAAAAGTGGGATTGCTGGATCATATGATAGCTCTATTTTTAATTTGTTGAGGAACTTCCATGCTATTGTCCATATGGCTGTACCATTACATTCCCATCAACAGTATACCAGGGTTCCCCCTTTTCCACACCCTCACCCACACTTATCATCTTCTGTTTTTTAATAATAGCTGTTTTAGCAATTGTGAGAGTCTGTAGGTTGCCTTTTCATTTTGTTGACAGTTTCTATGAAGCCCAAATGGACACAAGGCAAATAAAATTAACTTTTTAAGTTTTGTGCTTCCCTGTGCTCTTTAATATTCTGGAATAAACTGACACTCTATAATTTAGGTCATTGGTTCTGTTTTAGATCCGTGAAGTCAAAGCTATTTCATAATAATACAAAGATGTTATTTATTGTGTGTTAACATGCAATTGAATCATCACTGCTAACTTTAAATAATCAATAAAAAAAAGTCTTTAAAATTTTCTTGTATGAGTGAAAAGGAATCTGGAGACTAAAAAATTTGAGAATTTCTTCTTTAGAACACAACCTATTCTTTTCTCTTAGAAAACAAAAATATACCAGTCAGAATGGCTAAAATTTAAAAAAAATGGCTAAAATAAACAGTCAGGAAATGACAGGTGTTGGCAAGGATGTGGATAGGGGAACCCTCCTGTGATGTTGGTGGGAATGCAAGCTGGAGCAGCCACTCTGGAAAACAGCATGGAGGTTCCTCAAAAAGTTGAAAATAGAGCTACCCTATGACCCAGCAATCACACTACTGGGTATTTACCCCATATTTACCCCAAAGATACAAATGTAGTGATCTGAAGGGGCACGTACACTCCAAGGTTTATAGCACAATAGCCAAACTGGAAAGAGCCTAGATGACCACCAACAGATGAATGGATAAAGATGTTGTATATATATACAATGGAATATTATGCAGCCATCAAAAACCCAAAATCTTGCCATTTGCAACAACATGGATGGAACTAGAGAGTATATGCTAAGCAAAATAAGTCAATCAGAGAAGACAATGATCATATGATTTCACTGATATGAGGAATTTGAGAAACAAGACAGAGAAGCATAGGGGAAGGGAGGGAAAAATGAAACAAGATGAAACCAGAGAAGGAGACAAACCATAAGAGACTCTTAATTTCAGGAAACAAACTGAGAGTTGCTGGAATGCAGGGGGATGAGACGAATGGGGTGGCTGGGTGATGGACATTGGGGAGGATTTGTGTATTGGTGAGTGCTGTAAATTGTGTAAGACTGACAAAGCGCAGACCTGTACTCCTGAAACAAATAATATGTTATATGTTAATTAAAAAAAAAAAAAGACAGGCATGGTTGTATTTCCTCTGTCAGTATTACTCCTAGAATAGTCTGAACCACTTATATTGACTAACATTTAACCGAAGTGACTAAACTTGCCCAAAGAAAATTGTTGGTTGGGGGCGGGGGTGGATAAATGAGAACTGCCTGTTGTACAGAAGTTTTCTAGCAGACTAGCAAAACTCATGAATATATGTAATACAGATTATACATATCTTTTCAACTTCTTAAAGCAACAAAAGCAAACATGTTTATTAACATGCTTATTAAAAAACGTGCTTATTATAGCTTATTTCTAGCATATAAAGATAAGCAAAACTATGTACACCTTGAACTATGCTTAGTAATAACCAATGATGCAGTATTAAACATTACTTAGAACTTTTCTAGGTATTCAGTGATTATCCATTTATTAACTTAATATCAGTCTCATGTTTTTTAAGTTTAAAAACTTGGAAATTGGGACACCTGGGTGGCTCAGTTAAGCATCTGCCTTCAGCTCAGGTCATGATCCCAGGGTCCTGGAATGGAGCCCCACATTGGCTCCTTGCTCAGCAGGGAGCCTGCTTCTCCCTCTCCCTCTACCTACCACTCTTCCTTCTTGTGCTTTCTCTCTCTCTCTCTCTCTGTCAAATAAGTAAGTAAAATCTTTTTTTAAAACTTGGAAATCAATTAGGTTACTACAAATCATACATATGGCAAAATATAATTACTGTTGAATTAAAACATTTGTCAGTTTAATGGTTCAATTTAGTTGAACATGGTTTTGTATTTCATAATCTTAAACATTGTTAATGCCCACTAGCCAGAGACCATCAGGAACACTCCTGTGGTTGAACAAGTTTGGTTTATAACTCCTTGCAGCAGGAAAGAGTATATATAATAGGCCTCCTTCGGGTGGCTCAGTAGAAAGGTATTAGAAAGGACTGACAGGACTTGAGATTTGGTTGGTTGATGTTGAAGAAAGTACAGGAAGAGAGGGTTTACTCTAGGTCAGGGGTTGTCAAAAAGTAAGGACAATTCTGTGAGTATCTCAATAAATAATATTCATAGGGAGGACAAAGTAAAGCAAGCCTAGAGCTATAATTGGTAAAGCAACAGCAGTCACTCATACTTGCTGGTATAAGAAGATATTTGGTATTTTATGGCTTGGACAATGTTCTTGCTTTGTCTGTGTTCAGACATGATCATCGGAATGGACTTGTTTTTGTCTTAATCCATCATGGTCACAGACTGGCCTGGCCTTATCTGATGTTGATGTTCTGTGAAATAGCTCATATTCAGCAGAAGACCATCAAGTCCTACCTGTGAGTGCCAAGCCAGCTCTTAGCAACACTGAGGCCCAGCAGCTGATAGCACCGGGCCGGTTCTTGGATGCCAGGGGCTGTTGGTTTTTTTTTTAATTAAAGTGATATAGAAGTAGTGTTAGCTTATTTGGTCAGTAAACCTCCTAAGGTTTAGGAAAAACAAATCCCAAGTAGAACAAAATGTACATTTATATTTTACCTAACACTGATAAATTAGAGAAAAGATAAATCCCTTTTTTAAAAACCAAAATTGTTAAATGAGTCTTGAAGGGATTCAGAAGATGCCACCTCATAATATGCTGATTTGGCCTATTGATGATTTTGAGCTAAAGGCACTTGAAAAACAGTAGATATAAGAAGGGCACTCTGACTTCCTCTTTTCTTCCTGCAAGCAGGAGATAAAACTCCCATGTAAAAGACGTCTTCTCTGTATCTGGAGGAGAATAACATTCCTATCACCAGAGATAGGACAAAATAGTCCAAAAAGTCTGTACAAACAAACCCTTATTAAAATAACCCTACCTTCCTTGAGCTTCCCCAAATATTTTTAGTTACTTTTTCACAATTGCTATTCTTTGTTCAACCTAGTATAAAAGCACTTAGTTCTAACCACGTTTTGGGTCTTTATTTTCCCGTGAAGATTCTCCTATACTTGTAAAAATAAATTTTATATGCTATTTTTTTTTAAGATTTTATGTGTTTATTTGATAGAGAGAGAGGGAGAGTGAGCACAAGCAGGGGGAATGGCAGAGGGAGACGGAGAAGGAGACTCCCCACTGAGCAGGGAGCTCGGTGCAGATGTAGGGCTCAATGCCAGGACCTTGGGATCATGACCCAAGCCATGATCATGATCTGAGCCAAAGGCAGACGCTCAACCGACAGAGCCGTCCAGATGCCCTGCTTTTTTTTTTCTTAATCTGTCTATGTGAGCTTAATTTTCAAGCCATCCAGAGACCCTAACAGGGTAGAGGGAAAGTTTTGCCTCATCTACAGTCTCATTTGTCAAAGATTTACCTTAATTATGTGAACTTGGATTCTTAAAATATTCCTGAGTTAGTTTCTTTTAGAATTTTTTTTAGTCTGGCACATTTAAAGGAATAGATATTTTATTTCCTTATTTAGGGGAATTTTAGGAATAGTTATTTATATGAGTAGTTATTTATCTCTATAAGCCGACCAGAACAGAGCTCTTTTAATTTAGAAGACTTTATAATCAAATTTATTAATACCATCCAGAGACAGGAAGACACTTCACACTTCTATAAAGAGAAGTAAAGGGCTTTCTAAATTACATACAAATGGATAGACAGAGATCTAGATTTTTAGCTCTAAATCTATAATTTCAACTACAAGTCAAGAATAAACACAGAAGGGACACCTGGGTGGCTCAGTTGGTTAAGCCGCTGTCTTCGGCTCAGGTCATGATCCCAGGATCCTGGGATCAAGTCCCACATCCGGCTCCTTGCTCAGAAGGGAGCCTGCTTCCTCCTCTCTCTCTGCCTGCCTCTCTGCCTGCTTGTGATCTCTCTCTGTCAAATAAATAAATAAAATCTTAAAAAAAAAAAAGTAGAATAAACACAGAAATGCAAAAACTCACTACTTTAGATATCAAAGAGTTGTTACCCTCCCATGAGAAACTGTTCTCCTTTGTGGTATGAATGGTCTTAAAGTAGACAGACAAACAAGTAAGACTAACAAATCAGAAAACCAGATCTCTGGTTTTCTCTTACCCACAGAAATAGATAGGTATCATCCATCTGCATATTTCACCAATTAGTCAGACCTTAAAACCACATTCCCAATCATTGCTGTCAAGTTTGGAGAACAGCTTACCAGCTGTAAGCAATACAGACACAAAAAATAAAGCACAATATTGGTAGAGGAGAAAGTAGAGAAACAGTCAGCCAAGTTAAAATTCTATTGCCAACTAGCATTCACCTCTACAAGTCAAAAAATAAGTATCTGGGCTTTAGCCACCCATGAGGTATATATACTTGTCTAGCAGTATAATTTACCTGGCCCTTTCATGTGACTCCATTGGACATCCTGGTGGATAACCTCCAAAATAGTTAAAAGTATGCATTTTTTGGAAAGGTAAAATCATGACTGATACAAATATAAACATGTATCAAAAATTTTATTTGACTCATTAATTAATAAGGGAACCACCAAGATGTTATAATGGGGTTCAAAGAAGAATAAACAATCCTGAAATACATTTTACAATTAGATACAAAATTGGTCTATCAACTGGGCAATGATCAGTTGCATTCCACCAGACATAATTCATTTCCATTTCTCTGGACGATAACATCTGCGTTATCCTCTGCTTTCTAGAATTTACAGAGTTATAAAATAGTTCAAAGACAATGAAGGTTGGGGTAACTGGGAAGGGTGCATTAGGCAGGCACTAGTAATCTTTTTGTTAGTCCACTTAAAATTTTTTCACAATTTTTCCTGACAAACAGATCCCTTTAAAAAAAAAATATATATATATATATATATACACACACACACACATACATGTATGAATAGATATAACTAAATAGATTTTTGTAGATGGGATGCCTGGATGGCTCAGTTAGTTAAGTGTCTATTTTCAGCTCAGGTCATGATCTTCAGGGTCCTAGGATTGAGCCCCATGTCTGGCTCTCTGCTCAGCAGGGAGTCAGCCTCTCTCTCTCTCTCTCTCAAATAAAAAAATAAAATCGTTTAAAAATTAAATTTTTGTTGGATTATATAAGTAATGAAATGTTTCTAAAGACTAGCTTGTTAATATGGCTTGGGGGATCTAATATGGGTAGAGGTAGGAAAGGGAAGATAAATAAAGGAGGAGTCTAGAAAAAGGAAGAAAAAACTGTGTTTTAAAAAATCATTGCAGGGCACCTGGGTGGCTCAGTCAGGTAAGTGTCTGCCTTTGGCTCAGATCATGATCCCGGAGTCACAGGATGGAGCCCCACATTGGGTTCCCTGCTTACCAGGGAGTCTGCTTCTCCTACCCGTCACCCCACTTGTGCTCTCTCTCTCACGCGTACATGCCCTCGCTCTCTCTCAAAGAAATAATAAATAAAATCTTGAAAGAAAGAAAGACAGAGAGGAAGGAAGGGAGGAAGGAAGGAAAGAGAGGAAGGGAAAATTCTTTGCATGAGGGGCTCCTGGCTGGCTCAGTCGGTGGAGCATGCAACTCTTGAATTCAGGATTGTAAGTTTGAACCCCATGTTGTACTTAAAAATAAAATCTTAAAACAAAAATCATTGCCAAAAAAAAAATCACTTCATATATTACCATGCTTATACATTCTACGTTTTTGTTCTAGGTGATAACATATGTTCGTTAAATTTTTTTCAGAACCTTTCTGTAGTTTTTTTTTTTTTTTCCCCAAATAAAATTTAAAAAGAAAAAGAAAGTTTCAGACATCAACTCTTATGGGAAATGGGATGTGGTTTTCAGTTAGCCAGGCTAGCCTGGTCTGGCCTTGGCTGCTGCTTCTTAGTTGTCAATGATCCTTTTTTTTTTTTTTTCTTTTTTAAGATTTTATTTATTTACTTGACAGAGAGAGATCACAAGTAGGCAGAGAGGCAGGCAGAAAGAGAGAGAGGAAGCAGGCTCCCTGTTGAGCAGGATCCCAGGATCCCAGGACCCTGAGATCATGACCTGAGCCTAAGGCAGAGACTTTAACCCACTGAGCCACCCAGGCGCCCCCAATGATCCTCTCTTAAATGTTCCTAATGTGTGTTAAGTCTGACTTTATCTGGCTTCTTGCTTCAGAAACTGAACCCCTCCCAAGCTCTTCCCTCTCCCTATCCTCCCTTCCCTAAGACAAGGAGCAATACCGGTTTCTAATTGGTGAAGTCAGTTAAATTTAAATTCAATACTCATTTACTGGGCCAGAGAATTGAGTGTGTTTGGCTACAGGAAACTAGTCTACCCAGCTGAGGAAGATTATGACCAAATACCCTGAGAAACCTCTTCAAAAATCTTCCCTAGAGAAGTGCAGCTGGGTTCCTGAGCAGAGGCGTTCTTTGGGAATGATCTGACTCGTGGTAGAACAAATCCACCGAGCTGCAGGTTCAAACACAGCCAAAATATCTCTTGCAATAGGGAAAGACTGAGATGGCCAGACTCTGGAAATACCTTCTTTGATATATCAGGGTCCAATTCCCCAGACTAAGATACCTTGACCCACCCCCTTACCCACACCCAGCCTGTCCCATAAGAGTAACAGTGAGGGGCACCTGGGTGGCTCAGTGGGTTAATGCCTCTGCCTTTGGCTCAGGTCATGATCTCAGCATCCTGGGATCCGGCTCTCTGCTCAGCAGGGAGCCTGCTTCCTCCCTCTCTCTCTGCCTGCCTCTCTGCCTACTTGTGATCTCTGTGTGTCAAATAAATAAATAAAATCTTAAAAAAAAAAAAAAACAGTGAGTTCCCTTTACTCAAGCCAGCTGGCTAGTGAAACGGAAACAATTTCCTTTCCTGACAAATGCTACTAAAGTTTACCATAAAAATAAAACTGAAATCTAGATCTTACATGCTGATTATAGTCAGAAACTTATTTTTACCGAACACCACTTACTTGTTCACAGTGAACAGATTTATCTGCTTACTACAGATTTACCTATTCATGATCTAATCCAGCATTACATATCTGTAGCAATAACAAAACCACCCAGTTCTGTTTAACTCCTCATATTTAAAATCACTTGGATTCTATTACCTACTAGGAGATGATTTTTAAAAATCATGACTCTTATACAAATATAAAATGAACACACACCAAAAACTTTACTTAATTCATTTATTAATGAAGGAATCAATAAGATGTTACAACTGTGAAACCTAAACCGGCTACCTGACAGCCCTCAGCTGGACACTGAGACAGGGAACCATACCTTCCTTTCCTATGACCCTGTACTATTCCTGTCTTCGTTAGCATGAGTTTGTTATTCTCCTGTCTTCAGTCAGCATCACTTAATTTTTCCTGGAGTCTCCTGCCCAGACAAATG